ATATAAAACATACACAATATTAAAGTTTAAATTCGGTTTCGTAATCCTAAATTCAAACTGAAACAGAAAAGAAAGCCAATTCAAGATATAATTTTAGGAGGAGATCATTTATGTATATTAAAATGTGCATAGAGTTAGCTATGTAAAAATATCTCAATTCCTATAATAATGCATCCAAAGGTGTCCTGGCGCAACCCTAAACTTTTCTGAAACTTCTAAATCTATTTTATTAAACAATTTTTTTCTAATTTTTTATTTCATAATAAAATTTAAACTAAACTACTTTCTTTTAGTTCTTTCATTTATTTAATTTATTCAATTTAATTTGTTATTATTAAAAGTTTAGTTTAGTTTCTTAATTGTTAAAATATGTAATTGTAATTATTTTTGTCCAAATAAAACTAATATATTAATTTTTATATACATTATGCAATAAAAATACTCTTAATTAAGCAAATTAAACTCCTTAATAAAATAAGATTAAATTGAGTAAGCTAATATTTTAAATATGCAATGCACAAGTTAAAATATATTATATATTACTAAAATTTATAATAAAGTATATAAAATAATAAATTTTAGTTTAAATGTATAAATCATATTTAAATTTCATATAATAAATATTTTTAAATACATAAATTATATTTTAGGTTTATGATAAATATTTTATATTATAATATAATATTATTTTTTATTTAATGATAATTTATTTTTAAAATATTAAAATTTAATTCTTAAATAGTTATAATAAATAAAAAATAAATTAAACAAGAGGATAAAAAAATTCTCATAAAAAAACGTGTTTAATATTTAAGAATTATTAAAATACTAAATAAATAATTTATCCCGAGTCTTTTCCGTAGCAGAGTGAATCACCCCACCTTTGGTGCCAATCCTTATTAATATGTGATATAGATTCAAATCCAAAATATATCATTAGTCTATTACTTGTATGTTTCATACAAGTACTCGTATAAATTAAATCTGGGAGCCTACCTTTACCCTGCTTCGAGGCAACAAACTCTCACCTTAAATAATCATGACTTAAAATTGGTATATGTGTTGTTGGATGTTTTAATTGATTTGAAAGGGGGTAGAAAGAAAAAAAGTATTTAATTGATAAGGTATGGCATGAGTGCGAACAAGATCCTACCATCTGTCACAGTGTGTAGATGTTTGAATTGCATGAAGAAACAAAGAGACCTACTAAAGATTCATGTCCCTTTCAATGTTTCATACATTTGTCACTTTCAATATTTGCTCAAATACGCTCCCATGTCAGACAAAGATGATAACACCTTGTCTTTTCACTTTCATCAACACTGTATTGATAGATATCAATATGGATCTAGCAACACGTATCACCCGTACACGCATCGCATCACACTCTAATATATAATTAAAATCTATATTTTCTTAATTCATAATATACCGGATAGGCCATTCATTCACTAAAATTCACGAAGATCAAGTTTCTTTCACATTCTCAATAATCGAAGGGATCGTATGACTCAAATCGCTTAGCACTCTCAATAGTTCAAGGTATCACATAATCCATATTTTTTACTCATTACTTTGGTATCCTTAATAGTCGAATCATATAAACGGGTGCAATCCTTACAAATTGCATGAGTGACATCCTTAAAGCATCAAATGGATTGTGAAACACTTTCGATAGTTAAAAGGATTGAAGACGAATCAATCATTTTGAAAGCTCATGAGAGCAAACAACATGTAAAACTCTTAAATTATAATAAATGAGATGATTAAGATTTAATTATTAATATGAAATTAATTATCAACATATTATCCAATTGGTAACTCTAACTTCCAGTCCATTGAGATTTGGGTCTTGTGCAACACTCTTGATAGTCAAAAAAGGATTGAAGATGAATCAATCCTTTCGAAAGTCAATAAGACCGAACGACATGTAAAACTCCTAAATTATAATAACCAAGATAATTAAGGTTTAATTATTGGTATGAAATCCCTAAATTATAATAATTAAGATGATTAAGATTTAACTATTAGTATAAATCAATTATCAATATATTATCTAATCGGTAACTCTAACTTAGAGTCCATTAAGATTTAGACCCTACAATTGGTATAAATAGTTTGTATCTCAAGATAAAGTTATTTTTCATGATTCGCATTTATTACACCTAGTGAGTAACTATTACTTGAATTAAAATGTCTATTTTGAATGCACCCCTCTGGACGTGGATAGACAATCGAATCGGAAAGTAAATAAGAGTAAAGACATCAACAAGAGTCTGAGTAAAACATCCTTGAACAGATACACGTAACATTCTTAAAATTGAAGAAAAATTATAAAAAATATTATTTAATTTGGTTTGTTCATATTTTAAATATTCAATTGAATTTCATTAATTTTATGTAGTTTAATTTAATTATCTAATTTTTAAAAAATATTTAATAGTATTCTTACGTTTAATTTTATTAACATTGTTAAAATTAATTTTAACAGAAAAATAATATTAAACATTTTTAAAAAGTAGTGAATTGAATTAAACTACTTAAAAATAATAAGATGAAAATGAATCATAAAATAAAAAAAAATTTAAAAATTTAATTTATCCTTTAAAAAAGTTTGCAATGCTCAATATGTAAAATACTAAGCGACTCTAATCTTATATTCAAAATAGATTAAGCCTAACTCCAAAACCAGCTTAATAAAGAAAATTATCAAAACTAACTCACAGAAATAAAGATTATCTAACTCAAAATATTTCGCTTATATTCCTAAAAATAAAATGTGAGACGTTGATCACCAAGTGCCATTAAAACCGGAAAGACATAAGTTTTTTAATTGATTTTTTTTAATATTTATAAATTTTATTAAATAGTATTTCAAATATCAAGATCATGTGTAAATACTTTTTTTTTTCATCTGCACACGTATATGGATATGTTTAGTCAAAGGTAATTTGTCTTTTTATGTTTAGTTATATTTTTCTCCTCTCACTATTGAATACGTGAAATAACTAAAACAAAATTATTCTAATGTAACATATAGTAATAGTATTGATTTGAATTATATACAATTGTCTAACACAATAACCATTCAAAGAAAATACTTTGTTTTCCACAATGATCCAACTTAACTTCAGCAGTAGATTTGTCTCATGAAAAATAATTGTGGTGTACACCAAATATATTTACCCTTTCTCATTTTTAATTTTGGACCACTTTATAATTGATAACGACCACAAATATCCTTGTCTACTTTGCTTATAGTGTTTTGGTTCTATTACTAATATATGAGAGAGAAACGTAAAAATAAGAAGCTGATAATTCCAAACATTAATTTTTTATTAAACAATCAATTTTGCAATAGAATACCTGTTGTAATGTGATTTAAATAATAATTAAAATAAAATTTTCATATTTTTGGAGACAACATATTCAAGCCTGCGCCGGTATTTGGGCTTCTGTGTAATTGAAAGAAGCTATGTAGATAGCTTAAAAGCCCAAAACTAACAGAACCACTTAAGGCAATAACTCATACATGATATTCAATCAAACATGAAACATGTAATTTGAAATTAATCATATTTCATATTAAAAAAAAAAAAAAAGTTCTAGATAAGTAATGTATTTGATTATTTGGTCAAGTTAGGTGCGAACCATTCAGTTAATTTGCGTTTGCAACACTCACAATTGTGTTCGAAACTGCTAGATTTGTATGTATTTTGCTTTTTTATTTATATTTTTTTAATTTTATTTTATTTTTACAGCAACATAATGCATTTGTTTAAGGTATAGGTGTAAAATTACTTTACAATTTACATTGCATAATTCTTTTTCTTATTTTTATTAGTTTTATACATTCATTTTTTTTAAGAGCTTACAGTATATGCACTGCTGAATTTACACTACTAATAAAAATATTATTGATATTATTTATAAAATAATTACTGTAAAATTTAATAAATTAACTATATAAGTTAGTTTATAATTAAATAACAGTGTATTGTATATATATTAAGGCTAACTTGACATTAGTTGGGTTCCAGAGACTGTTTGCTATTTGTACAGTATCTATTAAGGACATATTTCTTATTCACTTGGGTCGGGCTAATGATGAGAGTAACTAGTATATACAAAGTTATAAATTTTAACTTTGTTGTCCCTTTGTAGGTCACTGGATGTTTCAGAACATACAAATAACAAGAATATAATATAAGACTCCATCATATTTGATATTAAAGGCTGCTAGATATATAATGTATTTGATTACTTGGTCAAATTAGGTGATAAACATTCAGTTACTTTGACCGAGAGTGACAGTCTCTTCCGGAACTAGGTTTCATCATGTACCATGAAATTCTTTTTCCATTCAACTATAGACGCTGTACCATCTACATTCGGAACGTGTTCATCTTGGCTAACTTAATAGTTAGAGGAAGGACCAAGACTTTAGTTTTTACACACAACTTACTAAAGGAAACAATGGACTTGTCCAAGTTGCTACATTGAGCTCTGATTTTTATGTTCTATAAGAACTCATGTGCTACCAAAGTGTTGTTAGAAATCGATCTAACCATAAAAATAATACTTTGGGTTTATTAATGATTACCGTAATTCTTAAAGCTTATACTCCTCAACAATCAATAATCAATCGAGGAGATTTTTCTTTTTAGCCGGGGACCAGAGCACAATTGACATTCAAAACCAAAAGGTTAGAACTCCGTAGAAGTCCAAACAAAAAAAATGAAGTGATGAATTACATTTTTGGAACGGAACTTCAGAAGGACGTTATGGTTTTCAATTATAAAAATTGTCAAGGTAAGTCAGGTCAAGGAAGCCTATCAAGTAGAAAATAATAAAATAAAACAGAAAAAATATGCTGTCAGATCATACACGTACGAATATATGTCATATAAGCATCTAATATTGCATAAGCAAAGTAAAATAAACGAATGCATGATACCTAATACATTGGATGCATTTGGCACCAAAAGGCTCAGTAATAATAAACAAAAAACAAAGTAAATTATTTATTGGAGAACAACCTTTATATTATTGGCTTAAGTTCTCTTCCACTATCACATTTCACAGATTGAGACTGAAGTAAAATATCAAAAGAATTTTACAGGTGAAGAAATAGAAAACAAACAAGACAAGCAGAAAATGATAAAGTTGAAATCCTTTTCTGTATTCGTTCTCGTTTATACATCATTAATCATTGGACAATATCATTTATTGAATCACTAATTATGTTAAAGAATAACATGTTGAAATTTGTAAGGGTGGACTTCAATGTGTAGTAGCAGTCATCAATCCACGTGATACAACAGAGGCCAGCGAAAACTCCTAATATACAAATTTTAAAAAAACTCTTGTTCTATAGAAGCAATTGGGCAATACCACAATGCCAACTGCCATGCAAACTCATCTATATCTGCTATCAGATGTTTGGCTAACAGATCTAGACCGTTCAAGATCATCAGACGGATCCCAATCCAACGAAGAGGATTGAATCTTGGACAAAGTCATGAAAACTTCAGAAATCTGTGGCCTGGAATTGAGGTCATGAGCAACACAGAGTTTGGCAAGCTCGGCCATGGAGTAAGCCAAATCTAAAGGATACTCACCCCTCAAGTTTGGATCCATGAAACCTCCAAGTTTCTCCCTAACATTTTCTCCTTCAAGCACCTGATTCACAATTCCCGACAGCATTTGCTGCCCAGTTCCATTCTTATCCCTAACAATAGCCTCTCTCCCAGAAAGAAGCTCCAAAACCACAACCCCAAATGCAAAAACATCCATCTTTGGAGTAATCAAACCATTTTCAATATACTCAGGAGCCATGTACCCTTGAGTCCCCACCACATGCCTCGTCAATTGAAACCCCCCATCATCCCCTCGATCCTCCACAGCTCTCGCCAACCCAAAATTCGAAATCTTAGCCCTAAAATTCCCATCCAAAAGCACATTCCCACTCTTCAAATTCTTATGCACATGAGGAGGACTAGTGTAATTATGAAGGTAGTTAAGAGCATCAGCAACATCATGAGCAATCTGAACCCTCTGCACCCAACTCAGAGACACCGAATTCACGTACTTCTTACTATCATTGTGAAGCCAATCCTCGAGAGAATCATTCTCCGCGAACTCGTACACAAGATAAGTGTCGCCTTTGTAAACACAAAAACCAGACAACCTTATAATGTTGAAGTGGTTAATCCTCTTCAGAATGTTAATCTCGCCAGACACATCCCCTTTGAGAACCTTCACCGCAGCATGATCACCCTTGAAAGAAGCCCTATAAACAGAACCCTTTATCTTATTCTCTTCACTGAAGAACCCCGTCGCCTGCTGCAACTCCTCGAACTTGTACACACTCACCGACTCAATCATGTAGCGAACTCCTTCCGAAGAAAGAGACCATGATTGCGACGTTGGAATAGAATCCAACACCTTTTTACTTGTCTCCGTCGTGGTAGAAGCCGAGAAAGGCTTCGCCGGTGGTGTTGCTTCGTTTTTCTTTTTCCTCTGCCTCCGGCAGAGGAAAAACAGAGCAACACCCACAAGAAGCAACAGAACAACCCCAACCACGATTCCTACAATGACCCATTTCTTGGAAGAGTCAGAATCTCCGTCCGCTGCCGGAGGAGGCGGCGGCGGCAGCGGA